TAAACAGGAATCAAATTGCTTATATCAGTGGAAAGATACCATGGAAAAACTTATCACTAATCAGAACAAAGTCACGAACTAACTGGCCCACAGCCCATCAATTGCTCAAGTTCAAGCTGAAGTAAATTAAAATAAGTCTACGAGAACAAAGTGTAATTTTGAGTATAACCTATCTGAATTTAGGGACCATCTCAAAAATAAATTTGACACATTGAACATTAATGGCTCAAGACCAGGCCAGTGGAATGACATCAAGGACATTGAATATGATGAAAGCAAAAGGTGATAAAAAGGCACTTAAGAAAGAAAAGGCTGTCAGAAGAGACGCAGACACTTTCTTGTATAAGAGCTAAAACAAACCGAAGAAATCAGAAATTATGAAGTAAAAGAGCTGAGCAGAAGAATTCAGACAAAAGTATTAAAATGAACAAAACTGGAGTTACAAACCAAACAGGGCCTTTTTGGCATTTCTACAGCATAAAAACTGAATGTATTCAAGCCTTGAGTTATTATGTTGAAGGATGCAATGATACAGGCAGCATCAAAAGAACATGGAAGGAATGCACCATCACCGCACCAAAAACCAAAAAACTGCTCATCCATCATTCAGCCATTCCAAGAGGTAACATGTGATCAAGAACCAATGACACTGAAGAAAAGACAAGCGACACTGAAGACACTGATGAACAACACGGCTCCAGGAACTGACAGAATACCAAAGGAAAAGTTTCAACAAACAGATGCCGCACTGGAAGCACTTACTAGTTTACGCCAAGAAATGTGGAAGACTGCTACCTGGCCAACTGGCTAAAAGAGACCAGACCTGTACTCATTCAGAATGCAATAATTATTGCACTGTATCATTAATCTCACATGTAAGTAAAATTTGTTGAATATAATAATTCAGAAACAACTACTGCAGTATATTTACAAGGAACTACTAGAAATCCAGGTGGATTTAGATGAGAATGTGAAGGAGGAATATCACTGCTGAAAGCAGAGAATACCAGAAAGATGCTTACCTGTACTTTATTGACTATGCAAAGACATAACACTATGTGGACCATAATGAATTATGGGTAACATTGAGAAGATTGGGTATGCTAGAAGACTTGTACACAGACCAAGAGGCAATTCAAATAGAATAAGGGACGACTACTGTATGGTTTAAAATCAGAAAAGATTATATCAGGTTTGTATTCTTTCCCCATACTTATTCAAATGTATACTGAGCCAATAATTCAAGATGTTGGACTGTATGAGAAGAACGTGGTATCAAGATTAGAGGAAGCCTCATTAAAACCGCCTGCAACAGACAGCTGACACAACTTTGCTTGCTGAAAGTAGAGACTTGCAGCATTTACTGATGAAGATCAAAGATACAGCATATAGCCTCAGTATGGCTTATCCTTCAGCACAGAGAAAAGAAAAATCCTCACAACTGGTCCAATAGGCAACTTATGATCAACAGAAAAAATATTGAATTTGTCAAGGATTTAATTTACTTGGATCTATAATCAATGCCCATGAAAGCAGTAGTCAGGAAGCTGAGTTGGGCTGTGATCTGCAAGGTTATCAGTTCGAAACTATGAGCTGTGCCACAGGAGAGACAAGGCTTTCTACTCTAGTGAAGAGTTACAATCGCAGAACTCACAGGGGGCAGTTCTACCCAGCCCTATGGGGTCCCTATGAGTCTCGGCAATGACTCAATGGGAGTGAGGTTGTTATTTTTGTTTTTGGCATTGCATTGGTCAAATCTACGGCAAGGATCTCTTCAAAGTGTAAAAAAAAAATCACTTTGAGGACTAAGGTGGGTCTGATCCAAACCCACATATTTTTAATTGCCTCATATGCATGTGAAAGCTGGATAATTAAAAAAGAAAGATGGATGAATTTATGCATTTGAGTCATGGCGCTAGTGAAGAATATTGACTCTATCAAATACATACACCTCTATCTTGGCAGTACAACCACAGTGCTAAGACACAGTGGCTTCAACTATGGGCTCAAACCCAGAAACAATTGTGAAAATGGCACAAGGTGGGCCTTGTTATTTCATTCTGTTATACATAGGGTTGCTATAGAGTTGGACCAATTCAAATGCACCTAACAATAATTCATTCAATGGAACTTACTGTTATTTACCAATGTTGACCCTTATATGGTAGCTAACTGGTTACCATAGATAAAAAGTACCTAACTGTCCTGGGAGTGTATTTGCCCAGTCCCTGGAGAAGGACATCATGCTTGGTAAAGCAGAGGAATAGCGAAAAAGAGGAAGGCGCTTCACAAGATGGACTGACACAGTGGCTGCAACAATGGGCGCAAACACAGGAACAATTGTGAGGACGGCACAACCAGGTGTTTTGTTCTGTTGTACATAGGGTCCTTATGTGTTGGAACCAACTGGAAGGCTCCTAACAACGACAGAGGCATTAATTTAAAACTATGTTATCCAAACCAAACCCATTGCTAATGAGCAAGTCCAACTCATAGGGACCCTGTATAGGGCTTCCCAAGATGTAAGTAAATCTTTACAGGAGCAGACAGACTCATCTTTCTCCGAAGAATGATGGGTTTAAACTACCAACCTTGTGGTTGGTTAGCAGCTCAATATTAAACCCAGAGAGCCACCAAGGTTCCTTAAAAGTACTGTATATACTCGTGTACAAGCTGAGTTTTTCAACATTTTTAATGCAGTTTTTGTGGTAAACTTAGGTGCCTCAGCGGATGTTCGGGTTGGCTTATACTCGAGTATACACTGTATGTTAGGTGATTTTAAATTAAATGAGTGAATCAAATAAGTTAGAGTTTGTTGATTAGATATTTAATACTTTTTTAGAATTTCCTATTTTAAAATTTTAGCATTTAAAGAAATAAAAATAGTTGAAGTATACTAATAAAACATTAGATGGAAATGATCAGGAGCCTGCAATGAAAATCTTAGCAGGCAAAGAAGAGAGACGGTTTTCACTGAAGAGATGACAAGAATGGTTGGGAATGAAAAGGAGAGTGAAGGCTAAAGGCACCAACCAAACA